CCCCCCCCCCCCCCCCCCGCAATAATTCTGACACTCACCCCTCAGGATAGTTCACACTGTTATATCTCTTTTTTAAAAATCACTCTTTAAAAAAGTATTTCTTCTTAATAGTCTTGGGTATTTTTTTACCCTGATTCTTCTGCATTTGGGGATTAAGTGCAATTTTAGTTACATGCCCATACTAAGAAGAATAAAGATGTCATTAATCTCGAAATTCTTTGGTGCAAATCTACACTCCTTTGCCTGTGTTCCTTGTCCTTTGCCTCTCATGTGACTTTCCCCAGGGGAGCTTTAATACATCCAAGCTAGTGAGGAACGCGGGGTCATAGAAATTGGCTTCTTTATGTCAACCATCTTTCTATAGTTACCAACTTATCTTTAGCTTATGATATATTTTAGTAGTTAATATGTAGTTTTAATTTTTAAGTGTTTTCTCCTGTATATTTTGATAGTTGACCTCCAAAAAGTTTTGAATAAAAGATGTATTTTATTCTTTATTAGACTAAACATTAAAATTGAAAAGTTACATTTATATTTATGGTCACTAGATAAATATTAAGAACTATTAAATATGTTGGTGACTTATGCTAAAGAAATATATTAATTCATTACTTTTGACTTTGAGAATAATATTTAGAATTCTATAAAATTATGGACAAATAGTTCTCTCATATAATGCTTTATCATTCTTTTTCTTTTTTGTTTTCTTCAAATACCATTTCATTTGGGTATTAAAAATGTAATAAACTTGTGTTTTTTTTTTTTTTAAGAATGGAACTTCAACATGGCTTTGCCTTTAGAATTAAGATGTATTTGGCTTTTAGCAAAATAGTCATCTGTTACATCAATATAACTCGTGTCATTTGCTGTGCTGGGAAAATGAAATCAATCATGATGGTACCTAAACAACCTGCATCTGTTTATCTTCTTTCTCGGCCAAAAGTTAGATACGTAGGGCAATAGCATGGTTAGAAGATCCCCAAACTTAAAGAAAGGGTTTATGAAAGAAGATGCATGGAACAGTCGGTGAGCTTCATTCCCTAGTAATACCCAGTGCGCTTATAGGCATTAGATCGAAATAATATTTAACGTTGTTTTCTAGCAGAGATCTTCATGGACCAGATGCAGTTTATTAGGGAGATCTATTCTATCGTGTGCAAAAAAAAACGAATACTTTTCGATGTATTTTGAAATTAACATATTGCTTTACTTCTAGGATTCTTAACCATTCAACTTCTGTCCCAAGAAACAAGCCAAAACAAACTGTGGAATGCGAAAAGAGGTATATAAATATCTTAGTCCTTATATTTAGTATTGTATAATGAAACTTGATTCTCTAACAGTGATGTTCCCATGTGTGGGCTTTAATTGAATAAATGATATAGATTTAATATAACTAGATAATTTAATGGGGAAATGTGTTTACAGCACCAGTTGAATTTACTTTTGATATAAACGAATCCAAAAATGCTTATTTGATCTATTTTGTGCTCATACCTGCATTCTGTCTTGGTGATAGAATCGTTTATTCATTTATTAATTCAGCAAACCATTTATTGGATTACTATTACTGCCAGGAATAATGTTTTTCTTCATCATTGTGTTTATTCTCTGTTACTGTTCACTTTTTCGTTTCATTTCAATTGGGTTTTTACTAAATTCTTCTACATGAATACAGGGTCTAAGTTAATATATGTGAATTCCACAGAACTAGAAGACTTGGAAAGTTTCGATTTATTCTTTATGGCGGTTTGAAAATTTGCATCAGGCTCAACTCCTGGGTCATTCCCCCAGGAGTGTAGAGGTCCAAGGCTAGGGGTAGGCTGAGTATTGAAATACAGAGAGAGCGAACATTTCTTGAATGCTTGTTATATGCAAACTGTTCTGATGTGTTAGATGTCTTCTCTCATTTAATCGTCTTTGTGAAGTTCGTTACTGTTGTTACCCCATTTTGTAGGGGAGAAAACTGAGGCTCAGAAATTACCATAATTTGCTCAAGGTCACACAGCTAGTAAGTGGTACAGTGAAGATTCAAGCCCAGGTTGTCTGGTTCCAGAACCCCTCATCGTAAGATATGGTAACAACATTCAGCTTCCTCGAGGTTCACACATCCCACTGATAACTTTTCCTGGATACCTCACGGTCTAAAGTGAACTTACTTTTTCCCGACGTGACTGCTTCTCATAGGGTTAGCCTGAATGAATGTGTCACTACTTAGTCACCCAAGCCAGCAACTTTGAAATCATCGGAAACTTCTCTCTGTTAGGCACCCCTCCCAATCTAGTCAATCATCTAGTCAATCACAGAAAATTCTAGCTCCTTAACATCACTTGCATCTATCCCAACCTCTCCATTCCTAGCACAGTGGTGTTGGTTTAGGCCCTATCCTTTTCCTCCTGGATTACTGCAGCAGTCACCAGTCATCTCTTTTCTTCACTTTTGCCTACCTTTAAATTTGTCTTCTGCACTGATGTCAAGAGTGATGGCTCTAAAACCATCTAACTGTGTGACCCCCATTTATTATTTTCTACTGGTTCTTTATAACTTTCAGGATAAAGCTGAAAATGTTTGACTTAACCTGTAAGATTGAAGTGAGTTTCTGCCTACCTCAAGAACCTTATCATGTGCTTTCCCACTGGCACCTTTTGCCATTTGGAAGGGTGCTTTTTCTTCTTTATTCTAGCATGGTTTCATATATCTGTGTTCTATATCCTGGTTTCTCTACTGGGATTGCCCTTCTCTTTTTCACTTGGGCTTTCAGAATTCTGAGTTCAAGTGTGAGATGACTTTTTTTTAAGTTCGTTTATTGATTTATTTATTTAGAGAGCATGAGTGACCTGGGGAGGGGTAGAAAGAGAGGGAGAGAGAGAATCCCAAGCAGGCCCCATGCCCAGTGCCAAGCCCACCGCGGGGCTTGATCTCACAACTGTGACATCATGACCTGAGCCAAAATCAAGAACTGGACGCTTAACTGACTGAGCCACCCAGGCACCCCTAAGATGACTTTTTATACTCCAGTCTAGAAACATTCCTCTACTCAAATTTCATTAATTGGATTTAACCCACTCCCTCCCTTTTTGAGAACTGATTATGTTTTCTTACATGTTTGCTCTCGTAAAGTCTGTGTTATCACTTTCCCTGTCACTTCCTTTCATTCCCATCTTAAGCTTCCTCCCCAGGTTCCTAACATTCTCTTGAGAAAGCCCCAGTTGGGGCGCCTGGGTGGCGCAGTCGGTTAAGCGTCCGACTTCAGCCAGGTCACGATCTCGCGGTCCGTGAGTTC